ACATGAAAGACTGTTATCCGACACACGGTTGAGAGAAAAACCGACATTCCCCCCTGCATTCAGCTGTGTTTGAAATTCCAGACATTCCACACAGTGTGCTCTACCTAGGCATACCTCGTACCCCCAAGTCGAGAGGGAGAATACAATTGATAATTTACAACAACAAAAAACAAGCCAACAACGCAAAGTCGGTGAGGGCGAGAATGTTTTAGATTTTATGAAAGCACTCGCTATTTGTAGTTGCAGATGTGCAACTAGTTTAATTGGAAAAATAAAAAGGTATGCTTACCGCCTAAACATGCATTTCTAACTTCACCATTAAGGCACCACAGTTCTCAGAACATACCAAGCAGACAGGCATGTATGGACGAACAAGCTGAAACGGACACTTAATTTAACTAGAAATATCCATGCGTAACGTGGATATCATGGTTTGCCAGTCAGGCAAGAGGCCACACTGGTTGAACCCAGACACGAAACACCCGCACTCGGCAGGAATGCTTCCCTCCCCCTGACGGATACACACCTTGCCTCCCCTTTTAATGTTACCTTCAAACACACCTGGCATCCACAAGCTTTACATCTACATCATGTGATGTTTGTAAAATCCTCAGTGGCTTCTGGTGAAATAACTCCACACCCCCTTTTCCCTTAAACTCTCTACTGTTTCAGACGCACCATTACATTGACCTTTAGACATGTATTTACTGCATGTTTGAATCATCCTATGATCCTAGTCGGTACTATGGTTGAATATTTTCCTGGTGTTTTACAAATGTACCATCCCGAGAGTAAATCACTTTTCTCCCGGGTAACCCGGTATTTCCCGCCAAAAACCGTACGTTTTTGTCTTTCAAAAGCATTATAAAGTACTCTACATAAAGTATGTGGACACCGCTTCAAATTAGTGGATTCGGCCTATGGGATGCCACCTTTCCAACAAGTCAGTCAAATTTCTGCCCTGCTAGAGCTGCCCCGGTCAACTGTAAGTGCTGTTACTGTGAAGTGGAAAGTTCTTAGAAGCAGTAATGGCTCAGCCGTGAAGTGGTAGGCCACACAAGCTCACAGAACGGGACCGCCGAGTGCTGAAGCGCATAGCGCCTAAAAATTGCCTGTCCTCTGCAACACTCAATACAGAGTTTCAAACTGCCTCTGGAAGCAACATCCGCACAATAACTGTTCGTCGGGAGCGTCATGAAATGGGTTTCCATGGCCGAGCAGCCGAACACAAGCCTTAGATCACCATGCGCAATGCCAAGCATCGGTTGGAGTTGTGTAAAGCTTGCTGCCATTGGACTCTGGAGTGTTGAATCACGCTTCACCTTCTGGCAGTCCGACGGATGAACCTGGGTTTGGCGGATGCCAGGAGAATGCTACCTGCCCGACTGCGTAGTGCCAACTGTAAAGTTTGGAAGAAAAATAATGGTCTGGGGCTGTTTTTATGGTTCGGGCTAGGCCATTTAGTTCCAGTGAAGGGAAAGCTTAACACTACAGCATACAATGATATTCTAGATGATTCTGTACTTCCAACTTTGTGGCAACAGTTTGGTGAAGGCCCTTTCCTGTTTCAGCATGACAATGCCCCATGCACAAATTGAGGTCCATACAGAAATGGTTTGTCGAGATCGGTGTGGAAGAACTTGACTGCCCTGCACAAAGCACTGACCTCAACCCCATGGAACATCTTTGGGATGCCGACTGCAAGCCAGGCCTAATCGCCCAACATCAGTGCCCAACCTCACTAATGCTCTTGTGGCTGAATGGAAGCAAGTCCCCGCAGCAAAGTTCCAACATCTAGTGGAAAGCCTTCCCAGAAGAGTGGAGGCTGTTTATAGCAGCAAAGGGGGGGGACCAACTCCATATTAATACCCATGATTTTGGAATGAGATGTTCGAGCAGGTGTCCATATACTTTTTAATAAATAGGCCTATGTCTGGATTTGGTTAGAGCTTTGTTTGAAAATTCAAGGTTGATGCTACCTGAGCCTGATGAGCCATACATTTTATGAGCCCTACATTAGACATTTTGAGCACAAGCCCAAATGATTGTGACGTTATCCAATACATATATGATATAGACTAATGCACGTTGCGCACGACAGTTAAACATAACATAGATGTAGCTAGCTATATGCTCTCTTGGGTAAATGAAACTAGCTCCAGTAGGCTAATCTTTTTGATTGTGAACTGTATTGTATTATATGGACTGGAATTACGCACATTGTTCAAACCATGATAAAGCAGGGAGAGAACATGCGATTCTGGTGCAGCACAAGCACGGTGGCTAGGAAAAACTCCCTAGAAAGGCAGGAACCTAGGAAGAAACTTAGATAAGAACCAGGCTCTGAGGGGTGGCCAGTCCTCTTCTGGCTGTGCTGGGTGGAGATGAAAAGAGGACATGGCCATTTAAGGCCAGATTGTTCTTCAAGATGTTCATACGTTCATAGATGACCAGCAGGGTCAAACAATAATCACAGTGGTTGTAGAGGGTGCAACAGGTCAGTACCTCAGGAGTAAATGTCAGTTGGCTTTTCATAGCCGAGCATTCAGAGGTCGAGACAGCAGGTGCAGTAGAACGAGAGAGTCAAACAGCAGGTCTGGGACAAGGTAGCACGTCCGGTGAACAGGTCAGGGTTCTCTAGCCGCAGGCAGAACAGTTGAAACTGGAGCAGCAGCATGACCAGGAGTCATCAGGCCAGGTAGTCCTGAGGCAAGGCCCTAGGGCTGAGGAGAGGGGGGGAGAGCGAATTAGAGGGAGCATACTTAAATTCACACAGGACACCAGATAAGACAGGAGAATTACACCAGATTTAAGACTGACCCTAGCCCCCTGGCATATAGACTATTGCAGCATAAATACTGGAGACGGGTGGGGCGGGGGACACTGTTGCCCCTTCCGACGATACCCCCGGACAGGGCCAACCAGGCAGTATATAACCCCACCCACTTTGCCAAAGCACAGCCCCCACACCACTAGAGGGATATCAACAGACCACCAATTTACTACCCTGAGACAAGGCTGAGTATAGCCCACGAAGATCTCCTCCACCCTAATGTTATTAGCCTACCTCTTTCTGTCTTGTTGCTTCATTCCTTCCTCGCTTTCAGAAGTTCAATGAAATACGTTTCGTTGTCCTTCTCTTCATCATTCTAATGACATCCTTGAATAATATAGGACTATAATTACATGCAGGAGGCTTTCACTTCTCTTCACGAAGATTGAATTGTCATGGGTCTGAATAAATAACTGCTATAGCCTACCGCCATCGCGTGTTCGCTCTTCTTTCAAACTACCTGTGAGTTCTATTGGCTGCTGTATTTAACATTAAGCAAATAAGAGCTTGCTTCCCTCTTCGAATAGTCTATTGGTATAAGAAATGCTAAAAAAAAAAAATACCAGCAAGCTGTTCTAGTCTAGCTTTTCCTGCATGGGACTCCCAAGAGCTAAGGAGCATTTTTTAAGGAGAGAGGCCAGTGGAGCACTGGTTTGGGCGTATTGCGCAATAGACAGACAGAGGCTATAAGTTAGATGCTTGTTATGTGTAACCCATCATTCATTAGCAGAATATAAGGCTAATACTGCATTGAATTTATTAACTGAAATATGTAGGCTAGGACATCTAATATATAGGGCTATATATCAATCTAGGACAGGATGATCTATTTTGGATGCAATTTGAATGGCGTTGGAGAGAGAATGCGAGAGTTCTCGCGCGTGCACTGATTTTAAAGCAAGTGATAGGCTGTTTTAAAACTCTGCAGCTGCAATATAAAAAAGCTTTACAATAAATAAATAAAAATGTGACCCCGAAAGACAGTTGGAGATGGGTAAATTAGACGCGCATTCTGTCTTCATATTACTGTAGCATAGACTATGCTGCAGTAAATGCAGGCCTACCTGTCACAAGAAAGTTACCTTGATGAGATGATAGGTCTACATGTACTGTGAACTGCTCTCCATACTGAGATGGGCTGTCTGTCCCCACCATGAGCGTTGATGATTCATCATGCAGAGAGAAGGCCATAGAGAAGCCAGATTTAGAAATCGCATATAATTTAAGTTCCATTTCACACCATGCTGTTCATATAAATCATTTATTATAATTTTCCTGTTTCTCACAGTTATTTATCCCAGGAAAAGTGAGTGGTTTTGGGCGGTAAATCTCGGTAACCGGGTTCCCGCCATTCAACCCTAGTCGGTACACAGCGTGAACTCAGCAGTATTGTATATGTAGGGCACACCCCAGAGAAGAACTGCTATGTTCATCTCATCTGGAGCCTTCATATAGAGGGGGCTGGATGAGCCTCAACAAATAGCCAGTAGAAGAACCTCATATCCTCTCTCCCCATCTGCTACTCACAGAGCTGGCTGTTGTGTGCACAGGAACTCCAGATTGAATGTGGAGTTTGATATTCAACTCAAACCAAATATGGCCGTCTGTTGCGGTTTGATTATGGCACGAGAAATGGCCAGGTTTCCTTTCAGTGAAATCACAGGATAGTTTACGCAATACGTTATTAGATGCTGTTTACGTTTGACAGTTTGTTTTTAAATGTAGCCTGGTTAAACCCGATTTTAAAATCTATGCTCATTATTACCATTCAGTCTGCTTTAACCAGGCTACTTTAAATGGTTAGTTCACCCAAATGACCTATTCACTGTGACTTTATGGATTACCAGTAAGCAATCTTTAGATCCCATGGACTTTGCAACCCTACTGTGAATGCTATTTCAATTGAAGACAACAGGTCTTTTGTATTTGAATACCAAGAGAAATGGTGATCCTCTCTGATCTGCTGACATCACAACTCTCGCCATCCTGTCTAACCAACTCTACAAGACATTGCTACGGTATGCAACGTTTCCTGACGTTGCTGATATGTTTCACGTGCGTTTACTCAAAGGCACCTTATGACAAATGCCACTCCTATACAAACATTGGGGACTTCAGTCAGTGAAATCCCCAATGGGCGTTTAATACACACACACACATTACCACCATGCCATGGCTGGGCCGTACTAAATGCTGCTATGCCTCCTCAACCTCTGCCTGCAGCTTTGCCAAGAAGGAGTCTGATGCGGCTGGCGCCCAGGCCCGGCTCAGGGACATGGAGACCCAGCTGAACTCAAAGGAGGCGGTGTTGGCCACCACTCTGTCAGAGAAGAGGGCCCTGGAGACTAGCCTGGCTGACCTGCAGGGAACCGTCCAGGAGGTAAATGATCAGATAACAATGATGATAACAATGCATTTCATTTGTAACAGGCTTTCCTCCAAGTGCTACAGTGTGTGACGGCAGTACGGATCAGGGAAAGTTATTGTTAACGTTGTCGAACTTTTTTTTCCCTCATTTGTCAAGATTGTGATTTTGTCATGGCAACTGTTGGTCACCTAGCCTATTGATGACTAGCTGCACTGAAATTGCATGCTTAAATTCAACGTTATCTTTATAGAATTTGTTTTCAAAATGATGACATTGACTAGTTCAATTGCTGCTTGAGGGAAACTTAACTGTTGACGAAGCCAACTATCATGAATATATTGGAGATAGAAACAACACTATTTAACTTGTAATAAAAATGCACCTGGAAGACTAGTTGAAATAGATCTCACAGCTGCTGAGCACATTTAGATAGACATTTGGATGTAGACCTTATCTGAGGAGCTTTTGCATCACTAGCCAGAAGGGGGCAATATAACCCATCACCATCTCAATTACATTGTGAAAAGAGGCTATAGGAGGACGGGCTCATTGTAATGGCTGGAATGGAATCTATGGAACGGAGTCAAACACATCAAGCATATGGAAACTACGTTTTACTCCATCCCGTTCAATCCATTCCAGCCATGATCCTGTCCTCCTATTGCTCCTGCACACACCTACCCAGTCTTGTTCTTTCCCAAGCCTTATTCAGTATATCTGATTTCAGAATAAGAGATCCTCTTTGCCATTCCTTTTCTATCTGCAACATTTTAAACATCGCACCTTTTATTGTTAATCTTTTTTATTGACAATTTTACTCGGCGTCATCGTGTTTTCTCAGTCCAGAACGACTTCAAAACACATGGAAAAACTTCCAGTAGATTAGAAGGAGAACTCACTCACGTATCTTGTTGTTCTCCTACAGTTGGAGACTGGCCTGATCTCCGCCAAGAAGCAGCTGGGAGAGGAGACTCTGCTGCGCATCGACCTGGAGAATCGCTACCAGAGTCTGTCCGAGGAGCTGGAGTTCCGCAAGAACATGTTTGAGGAGGTCAGACAACTGTCCAACACCTCCATTAGTTATAACTATATACATGTTCACATTCAGATACCTCTTTTTATATACACCATTGGTTATAGCACAGCTGTGTCTTTTTTTTTAGTGGGGATGTTTGGTGCAGCAAATGCAAAACTCACAGTATACACCACAGCAGGTTGATGCAATGTGGACAGTTTTAATTATAAAGACTGCTTAACCTGGGTAACTGTAAAGGGAAAGGTGATGTATCTCATGTAAAGGGAAAGGTGATGTATCTCATGTGAACCAGGTATACAGGTATACTATACAGGGCTTGACATTAACGCCTGTCCGAATGGACAAGTAAAACAAATCACAATATCAAACAATTGCACTGATCAGACTTGGCTCGGTGTCCTCTGGACGTAACAATTGAGTATGCGTTGTTGAGTATGACATAATGTTATGGTAAAACAAGCCACCCCTCACATGCCGTCATTCTCAACATGCCTTTAGCATTCTATTGCTAAGCACACCCTTTAGAGTGCCATATGGTCAAACACGTTTCCTTGAATGTGCGTGCCTCACCTTGAACCAGAGCCGTGGATTTAGAGTTGGGACTGCAACTTTTAGAATTTAGAATATGGTTCTAATTCTATAATCTTTTTTTGAAAAATGTTATATTCCCCATGTAATGTTAATGGAGAGCTAACATGGCTGCCATAGAATGTTTATAAGTGTCATGTAAATGCATCATAATGCAGAAACCTCATTGGCCCTACTCTCTGAATACATGGCTCTGCCTTGAACCAGCTCGTCTTCTGTTGTTCTTTGTCCAACACTGACTGAACTTTTGAGGAGGCACCAAGTTGATGTAGGGTAGTGTTACACTTATTACTATGACGTTATTAACGGGGCACAAGTCCTTTCTTCGACAAAATTGGTGTTCTAAGAAGACCTGATTTGAGTTATTTATAATAACTTTAAGACTAAAATTAGAATAATGGTAATACATTTATTAATCTGAAGGTATGAATTTTTTGAGAATTAATTGGAGTTCTTTCCCAGAATAACAAGACGAACACAAGCTCTTTTATAGAATCATCATTTAGTAACACTAATCTAAATATTTACAAACATAATCCAGTATGAAAAATGTATGCACTCACTAACTGTAAGTCGCTCTGGATAAGAGTGTCTGCTAAAATGACTAAAATGTCAAAATTAGAATGATTGTGAAAAGGTAGGAAATAGAATTGAAAAGACCTAGAGATCCTGAACATTAAATGTTATTTATACTAAATCTGAGATCAAAGCCTTTGATCCTTGGCTAGGCCTCATGGTAGAGAATGAAGGAGACGAGATGTCCGTGTGTTCTCTGGTCCTGAGTTGATTCCTTGAGCTTGTTGCTGCTGGCTGTGTCCTTTCTTGTTGATCTTTTCCTCTTCTGAGTTGGCTCGTTCCTTGTTGCCCTGTTGGCTTCCTCCGAGTTGGCTCGTTCCTTGTTGCCCTGTTGGCTTCCTCCGAGTTGGCTCGTTCCTTGTTGCCCTGTTGGCTTCCTCTGAGTTGGCTCGTTCCTTGTTGCCCTGTTGGCTTCCTCTGAGTTGGCTCGTTCCTTGTTGCCCTGTTGGCTTCCTCTGAGTTGGCTCGTTCCTTGTTGCCCTGTTGGCTTCCTCTGAGTTGGCTCGTTCCTTGTTGCCCTGAGCTCTAAAGTGTCTTCTCCTTTTGTTGAAGGTGAGCTTAAAAGGTAACGTTCTGGCTACACTCGCTCTTTTTAAAGTCTTATGTCTTCATCTGCGATTGTTTAGTATATGGGCTCTTCTGTCCCAATTCCCAAACATTTACATTTACATTTTAGTCATTTAGCAGACGCTCTTATCCAGAGCGACTTACAGTTAGTGAATGCATACATTTTCATACTGGCCCCCCGTGGGAAACGAACCCACAACCCTGGCGTTGCAAGCGCCATGCTCTACCAACTGAGCTACAGGGGACTGTATCAAAAAGGCGCTTTCCTTAACTTCTGAGAAATGGTGGCGCCCAGAGCAGGGCAGAGAGGACAAGGACCAGAGAGGCTAAGAGAGTGAGGGGGAAACAGCAGAGTCCTTTTTGTAGTCCTGTGAGGTCACATGGTATCAGCCCTAGGTGTGAAGGGCCACTATGACCCTTTCTCTTGGAGAGAGAGCTTGGAGGAACTCAGTAGTGCATAACAGTTCAGCATTATAGACAGACAGTAAATGGATGTTTTAACTTTGTTCAAAATATGACATTAAAACAACACGTCGCTACATTGACCTCTAACCCCCCCGTCTGTTTTGTAGGAGATCAAGGAGACACGGAGGAGACACGAGACGCGTCTGGTGGAGGTGGACTCTGGCCGGGCCGTGGAGTATGAGTTCAAACTGGCCCAGGCCCTGACTGAGATGAGAGGGCAGCATGATGAGCAGGTCAAACTGTACAAGGACGAGATGGAGAACACTTACGTGGCCAAGGTGAGACGGAAAACAAACACACACACACACCTGTTAACTTGTGGCAAAGGTGTGATATGCATACACATATACAACCTGCCAAGGTGCGAGGCAGAAACACACCATCCCAGATCCTCCTTGATGCAGACGGTGGATGTCCCATTATTGTTTGGTCATATACCAAGGCTTCTAGGAGATTCAGTTCCTGACTGGCTGTGGAATTGATCATAAAGTAAACCTCATTCCAGTGGGTCTCGCCATGCTGGGGTGACCTATTGGGAACATTGCATGTAAATCTGTGTCGAAAACGTACTAGTTATTGGATACCAAAAAAGTCACATCAACTAGCGTAGCGTTACACATTAAATCTAAAAGACCCATCTCTCGTATTGCACTTCCTCCCTGGCTGGTCAGGAAGCCCTCTGTGTGACATTCACTTCCTCTTTGTGAGGCGTTGCTCGAGCCATCCTTCCGTATGTGTGAAATAGACATTGTTTCTACCAACATAAACCATTTTAACTCTGTTCTGTCCTCCTGTGTACCCTGGTGCAGCTGGAGAACGTGCGCCTGTCGTCGGAGATGAACAGCTCGTCGGCCAGCATGGCCCGCGAGGAACTCCGGGAGTCGTCCCTGCGTGTGGAGAGCCTAGCGTCCCAGCTGGCCAGCATGCAGAAAGAGGTGAGACGTCATCGATCAAATGTATTGTAAAGGCCTTTTTACACGATTGAGGTGACTAGTAATAATGGTACACCTACTGGGGACAATCTAATGACAATGGCTACGATGCCATCGAGTTGCTTTTTAAAGACTTGAGTGTTTAGGCTACACATTTAGACCAGAGCCTGATACTTAAGCTAGCCAGCGTAAGAGATGATATGGAGGATACAGGAATAATGTTACACAGGAATAATGTTATACAGGAATAATAATGTTACATACAAGTGCATACAACACGTGCTCAGTCTATTGTATTGTCAATTCAGACTGTGCAACCGATTGCGTTCACCTATGCATTCCCCCCAACGTGTTGAAAACCAATAGGGTTGAATGCATTTTTTTCACGCATGCTGAAAGGCTTGATAAGTCGCCTATTAGCTGAATCAGGTGTGTTAGTACTAGAACAAAAGGTGTTCACACTGTGGGACCCCAGGCCTGGGATTGAAGAACACTGTGGGCCCCCAGGCCTGGGATTGAAGAACACTGTGGGCCCCCAGGCCTGGGATTGAAGAACACTGTGGGCCCCCAAGCCTGGGATTGAAGAACATTGTGGCCCCCCAGGCCAGGGATTGAAGAACACTGTGGGCCCCCAGGCCAGGGATTGAAGAACACTGTGGGCCCCCAGGCCAGGGATTGAAGAACACTGCGGGCCACCAGGCCTGGGATTGAAGAACGCTGCTAGTTGGAAGGAGTTAGACTGGAAGGGAAATGGGCATAGCTCCACTTTTCAGCATGAAACCTGGGTCCTGTTCAGTAGGGAGAATCTACTGTGTCCCACTGAACACAACCCTAACCTGTAAAATATCTCTCCTCCAGACCCGTGGATGGCAGGACCGGATCCAGGAGCTGGAGTCAGCCCTGGCCCAGGAGAGGGACACCAGCCGCAGGATGCTGGGGGAGAAGGAGCGGGAGATCGCAGAGATCCGGGCCAAGATGCAGCTGCAGCTGGATGAGTACGAGCAGCTGCTGGATGTCAAACTGGCCTTGGACATGGAGATCAACGCCTACAGGAAACTACTGGAGGGAGAGGAGGAGAGGTGAGGGTGAAGAGACACGCCTATACAGAGATCAATGCCTACAGGAAACTACTGGAGGGAGAGGAGGAGTGACTCATACATGCACTTATCATGACTCATGCAACAGTCACACTTGCAACTACATGCACACACAAAGTTCTGCACGAATGCAGATGTACTAGAGGTGAACACATACAGAGAGAATGTACTGGAGGGCAAGGTGAGCACATACAGAGAGAATGTACTGGAGGGCAAGGTGAGCACATACAGAGAGAATGTACTAGAGGGCAAGGTGAGCACATACAGAGAGAATGTACTAGAGGGCAAGGTGAGCACAAACAGAGAGAATGTACTAGAGGGCAAGGTGAGCACATACAGAGAGAATGTACTAGAGGGCAAGGTGAGCACATACAGAGACAATGTACTAGAGGGCAAGGTGAGCACATACAGAGAGAATGTACTAGAGGGCAAGGTGAGCACATACAGAGAGAATGTACTAGAGGGCAAGGTGAGCACATACAGAGACAATGTACTAGAGGGCAAGGTGAACACATACAGAGAGAAGTGGGGGAAAAGACCAACACATCATTCAGACCTAAACATCAGTCATCTTCTCTTTGGAGTGTTTGGCTCCCCTCTCTGTCCTGTTCTGGACCGTGTCCCAGGCTGATGTGATGTTGAGTCTGTCCTGTTCTGGACCGTGTCCCAGGCTGATGTGATGTTGAGTCTGTCCTGTTCTGGGCCGTGTCCCAGGCTGATGTGATGTTGTCTGTCCTCTTCTGGGCCAATGTCCCAGGCTGATGTGATGTTGAGTCTGTCCTGTTCTGGACCGTGTCCCAGGCTGATGTGATGTTGAGTCTGTCCTCTTCTGGGCCATGTTCCAGGCTGATGTGGTGTTGAGTCTGTCCTCTTCTGGGCCATGTCCCAGGCTGATGTGATGTTGAGTCTGTCCTGTTCTGGACCGTGTCCCAGGCTGATGTGATGTTGAGTCTGTCCTGTTCTGGACCGTGTCCCAGGCTGATGTGATGTTGAGTCTGTCCTGTTCTGGGCCGTGTCCCAGGCTGATGTGATGTTGTCTGTCCTCTTCTGGGCCAATGTCCCAGGCTGATGTGATGTTGAGTCTGTCCTGTTCTGGACCGTGTCCCAGGCTGATGTGATGTTGAGTCTGTCCTCTTCTGGGCCATGTTCCAGGCTGATGTGGTGTTGAGTCTGTCCTCTTCTGGGCCATGTCCCAGGCTGATGTGATGTTGTTTAAAGGTTGTGTAGGTAGTCTTCCAGTTGGAACACATGCATACACATCTATGTAGATTCTTCATGCAGGAGAAATGCTAACTTCCTAGTTTGTCTATCACTCGTCATAAGCTGACACGTTGTCTAGGTGTTACAGAGAATATCATGGTGTTAGTTTAATGTATCTCTCATACCCATTCTCTCTCTCTCTCTCTCTCACTCTATCCCTCTCCCTTCATTAGACTGAAGCTGTCCCCCAGCCCGTCGTCCCGTGTCACCGTCTCCCGTGCCCAGTCCAGCTCCCGCAGCGTGCGTACCACCCGGGGCAAGAGGAAGCGTGTGGATGTGGAAGAGCAGGAGGCCAGCAGCTCTGTCTCGATCGCCCACTCCGCCTCCACCACCGGCCCTGTGTGTATTGACGAGCTCGACACTGATGGGAAGTTCATCCGCCTGCACAACACCGCCGATGAGGTGAGGGGTGGCAGATGAGTGGGACACACGCCATACACATACACACACACACACACACTACATACACACACCCATACACAAACACTGGCACACACACACACACACTGTTATCGAATGTTCTCGCATACATTTGAATGTGTGTGTGTTCTCAAACCTCAGTGTGCGCTCAGACACTCGTTGCTTTTGTTTGAAAGCAGAATTTCACCGGTAATGATGGAGGCTGTGTTCCAGATCGTCTGCAAAGCATTTGGTCGTTTGATATCCTGTCGATGCAGTCACTGACATTTGAAACTCTTATCCAGATGTGAGATGGTGCGTGACTGCTTTGCAGACCGTCTGGAACAGAGCCATAGTTTTGAGCATGTGTGGTGCAGACATGACAAGGTGCTCAACTGCATCTGAGGCCTAACAACCCCCTCTAGCTGTGACAATATCCTATAAACCAGTGGGGACCCAATTAATTTTCACCCAAATTTCTGGTGACCCCATCCTCCCGCCCCAAATCTAATGTCACAACCTTAAAATATGTATGTTTAGATTTTTAGACCAACAAATAACCTTCAATTCATTACATTTGATCAAAATGTAATATTTATATTTTTCTAAAACATTTTTTATATTGTCCCATACAATCTGTATTCTTTATTTTGTTCCACTGCAATTCCCCCAACCCCAACTTTGAATACCACAGCTTAAACCACAACCTGTGGCATTATCACTTAAACTATACACCCAGAGTTAATCAAACACGTTTTGGAGAGGAACACACACGTGGCCAGTGCTCCCTTGAAAAAGAGATGAATATGTCAGTGGTACCGTATATAAAGGGTACTTATAGAGAACTCATGTTTTCCCGTGTCCTCTTCCCCAGAACCAGGCCATGGTGGGCTATGAGCTGACCAGGACCATCGGAGAGGTCTCTGCCACCTACAAGTTCACCCCCAAATTTGTCCTGAAGGCAGGCCAGAAAGTCACGGTAAGACTACCTTTTCTGCTAGTTAATGGCCTGAATACCTGCTTTCCTGTGTATTATGTTGCTTCACTGTAACCTTCAATTCATTACATTTGATCCAAATGTAATATTTATATTTTTCTAAAACATTTTTTATATTGTCCCATACAATCTGTATTCTTTATTTTGTTCCACTGCAATTCCCCCAACCCCAACTTTGAATACAGATTGTATGGGACAATATAAAAAATGTCCCATATATGCTACCCACTGTAGAGCGGAGTTAGATTTCTCTGTGGTGAAACAAGCAGATATTTGATCTGTCTCTCTGTCTGTCTCTGTGTGTCCCCCAGGTGTGGGCGTCCAATGCAGGTGTGGCCTCCAGCCCCCCCACAGACTTGGTGTGGAAGAGCCAGGCGTCCTGGGGCACAGGGGAGGACGTCCAGGTGCTGCTACTCAACCCTCAGGGAGAGGTACAGAACCCTTAATCCAATTTATGTAGCACGACCGCTTCTTATGAAGCATTTATACAAGTCTTATAAAGGACTTATGGAGGCCTGAGTTATTGTTAAGTTGTCGCTTTAAAGTGGGCCCCATATGTCTGTCTCTCCTTGGCCCCGTCTGTAAACAACCCCTAGTCCGCTGTAGTCATTTTTTTTTTTTCATTAGGCGCGCCCTGTTCCACCTTTTTACTGCTGCTGTCAAAGCAGCTTTCCAATCAGCTCTCCTTAGTTCAGTCTCCTGGATCAGTTGTTATGGGGCGTAACGCACCTGCATTCAATAGGGCAGTGTTCAATAGGGCACACTGTAGAAAATGTTTTTTTACGGAAATCGAAAAACAACTTTCTTACTGGACAAGTTCAGGTAGTCCCTCGTTTTCTTCAGTTCGGTGCCTAATGAACACAACCTGGGTTTCTTCCTGTTTCCAGGAGGTGGCCAGGAGGAGCACCTCGTACAAGACAGCCATGGAGGAAGAGGAGGATGAGGATGATGAGGGAGTGGAGGTCATCGAGGAAGATCTCTTCCACCAGCAGGTAAATACACTGTAAATAACATGAAACTTTATGGGGAACCATAGCTATTTTCTGCAATGAAATATTTGTTTGGATTAGAATTGAGTGATTATGGACTGAAAGAAAATAACTAGAGAAAGCCCACGCAACACTGTCTTGCAAAAATCACCATGTTAGAGTAGTATTAGACTGACAGAGAATATACTGTGGTATTGGCATGTAGCTTTTTTCAACAAAATATTTTTTTGATGTGATTGTGTCGATCGACTGAATGTTATTGTTTTGTGGCTTTCCAGGGAGACCCACGTGCCACCAAGAGGGGTTGCTCCATAATGTGATCACACCAGCACTACTCCACCCCACTGCCCTATACCTCACCCCACCCCTTCACAACCCTCTCTCTCAACCAGTATCAGCTGCCAACCGAACTACCACAGAACTATTTTGTATCTTTTTAGTGTATTATAAGAACTGTGTGAATTTCTATTCTGTTCTTTTTAGTTAGAAATTCCTAATTTCTCAAGATTGTAAAACCGTTATTTTTTTCTACATTTTTTTATGTGAAATCTTAAAACGAACCATCACTACTTGCATTTTTTTCTGAACCAAATTATGTTTTCTAGTCCCGGTAGTTTATTTTGTAGAGTATTACTTTGGACAGCTCTGTGCAGGAGAGGCAGCTTGCTGAATGAATCTGTACCTCGAGGTGCTGTGACTTTTTGTTTTTACATCTGATTTTCGATAAATATAACATTTTAACAGCCTCTTTTATAGAAGGTAATTTTATTATAGTGTTTTTTTCTCTCTCAGATACTAGTTAGACAGCCAGGTTGTTGCATACTTCAGAATGTAGTTAATGTTTATGTGAAACTCTAAAGAATAAAGCTTTCCAATTTGAAAGAAGCACGCAGCTTTTCTAAATGGTCCTCCATTCGTGTACTTACAGATGACCACTTTTGGTATTGGCAAAGTTTTGTCTGAACGTTACACACTAGACCACAAGGTGTCAGTGTTCCATTAGCTAGTTTTCCATCCAATTGGCGACAGATTTTCATGCGAATATTCTAAAGTCAGCATAGAAAAAATATGCACATTTTCCCACCAGATGTGTTTCCATCGAACTGACTTGTTGCGGATAAAATGCTGTGCGTGATGATGTAGTGCACATAAAAGCACTTTTGCGCTTAAGTTTTCCTGTGTCTAACATAAAACTGAAGTTGCATGCATTTCCATAGCATTCAACTCTATAGATGGTTTTATTTCCTTGGTAGTAGGCTACAACATCGCGTGACTCCACGTTTAATGCGACATGATGGTTTTTATACAAATATTTCAGCGTAAAAGCGTTTCCACCGCAATTGTCGCAAAACCTATTTCACCGACATATCTCACCTTGTCTAGCGTATTTTGTTTTGTCGACATGGGGACGTTTTACTGACAAATTTGCTGTTTCCATAAGGCCTGTCATGACTTTTTATGCATCCAGTCATTCATCTGCATGAAATGGTTGGATGGAAACCTGGTTACTGAGAAGAATGTCCTGTCTCCACTATGTTCTCCATATATTTGACTCGATATGCTACATCCAAGACTGTTTACAAGACAATACTGTATACTACCTGTCAACTCTGTGGGAAAATAGTTTTCATTTTATTTCATTGTATCACATCAGCTTCGATGCAGAAATGGCTAAATCGAACCTGCTGTCCAAGTCTTGGTCACACGTTCTTCCAGGAGCCGATTTTAAATAAACCACTAATTGCTGGATCCATGTCTGGTACAGGTTTAATGTCCATGTAACAGCTTGGCATTATCTTAATGTGTCAAGGGTTAGGATTATCTGTACTAACAACTCAGCCAGCAGCCAAGTAATAGGCAAAGATGGCTGTTTTGGTATTATTCCTCAAACCAATGGGTCTGTGATCATGATTGTACTCTTAACAAATGTCAATTGAGGATTTATTATCGATTTTGAATTTAGCATGACTGCATATACTCATGTTAACTTATGAAGCTGAATGCAAAGACACTTCATTTTTATGCTGTACTAGATATACTTTTTCAGAGACTGAAATTTCCTCGCCAATGTTTAAGTCATTGTGTGTCGGTCATATGCATACATTTAACATTTTATCGGACCGATTTTATTTGCTCCCTCAGATTTGTTGTTGTAATGGTGTCATATGCATGCATTGTTTGACTTTCTGTAACCTTCACATTTAATGACAAAATAAACTAATGATTTTGTTGTATTTCCATTAGACTGGAATATTGTTTAATGTTTTAAAATATATGCCCATATTCACAATGTGTCTTGTATAGGATTACTGATCTAGGATCAGTTTTGCCTTTTTTAATCAGTTATCCTGATCCTACAGCAGCACTCCTCCTTTGAGATGCTTTGTGAGTAAGGGCCCTGATCTGTTTGATGGTTATTCTGAACCAACTAGGTCATGGCTAGAAGGGATCCCGCTTTTGTCAAATTAATGACAGATTTGACTTTTCGTAGCAGGTTAGGAGAATTAAGAAAAAGGGTCAGGGTTAGCTTAAATGCAACAAAATCTACTTTTGACTTTAATTTGACAAGCTGGATCCCTTCTAGCCAGGACCAAACGACTGGGGTGCATTAACTAGGAAGTAAACGGTAGAAATGGGGAGGGACTAAACAGAACTTATCCAATAAGAAACTTGTTTTTGTTGCAAAACATTGGCCGTTGCAAAGCGTTTTTCTACGTTGTGCACTGATTAATACACCCCTCTATCTAGTAGACCACAGATGGCCTTTTTGTTATATCCAAAGCCTTTATTTTTTTGACTCAATGAGAAATCGTACTTCTCTTTCGAATTATGAGAACAGTATCCTATCCTTTTCTATGGCATAGAAAAATCTACATCCTGGAGAGAGATGGCACTTGAAATTGTATTAATTAATGCTTTATGAAGGTCAAGTAAAACCCATTACATGTTCCTTTGAGCATGTTCATATTGGCGTATGCTTTAAGGTTACTAATCAGACACTATCTGGAAGGATGCTTTTATGTGTGCTGATTCAGTTAATCACTTATTATACTTGAATGGAAATGTAATAACATTTAGAACAGCTCCGGAGTCCTTGAATGTTCATATTTTTATTTAAAAACATCAGCCAATAAAATAACTGAACTGTAGAGAGAAAATACATCAATTATTTTATCAAACTGCCCCCCCCCCCCCCACACACACACAAGCACACAAAAACATAACAAAAAAGGTTAGTCCACTTCACCAACAAGCTCAATGTGAAGACTGACATTTAATCACATGAAGATGAACAGTTAAATAAGTGCTCCATGTACTCAATATGGTAGGAGAAAAATAAATTCCTTGGATAGGTTAATATATCTAGTATAACAAGGAGTTCTCTAGACAGAAAATGTAAGTGTTTTTGGCCCTTCATATAATCATAAACCTGAACAGTCTTGGCTAGGCTATAACAACCATTTCTAGGAAAGTAACTATCACGGAAGAATACTTTACAACGCAGCCACTATGAAATCCTTGGAACAAAAGAAAAAAAACGATTGACAATGACATATTTTAAATGATAAATGGGCACAGAAATCTGGAAATGCATGAGTCACAATGACGGGATGTCTAGCAAACACATGAGAGCTACTCGTAAGTGAAGTGAATGACTAACACTAAAAATATTTGCATATATTACAATAAACCACGGTCAACCAGTTCTCAACTGAGACCATATTGTATTTTTCACACAAAAAAATTATACTTTATAGCCATAATATAAATTAATTCTAAATGTCCCTTTGTTGATATGTTAAGGTCAACCTCAAAATATACATGAAGACTGTTAATGCACGTGTTCCTATCTAAGGGGGGACTTGCAAAGAAACACAGATGTTAGTATAGGCCTACATCAACCTATGCCCTGTTTAACACTCCACAAAGCCTGTCTTTATGTTGGGTTGCGTTCAGCAGGGCATACTGTAGTGAAAAGTTTTAAATAGCTTTGAAACAGATAATGAAAATGAGTGTCTTACTGGATAAGTCCAGGTAGTCCCTCACTGTTTCAGTAAGTTTTCTTCTGTTTGGTGCCTAATGAACATGACCCTGGTTTGAGGCACACAGACCCACACATGTAGGTAAAGGTAAGAGTTTTTAATACTATGTAAAATACTGAAGTAGTTGAAGTACTTATTTACACTTTGGGCTTTGACTTGTTGATTGGTAGAATGTGATACTTTGACTAATATCGTAATACTATACACAGGTTTATGTTGGCATGTTATAAGAACCGGACATAATGTTTTCTGCACCTCACAGGAATCACCAATCACAGCATACGGTCACAGTGGCAAACTTTTCTTGGCTGTCCTTCAGTCCAAATGGTTTATGACCAACTATGCACTCCACCCCGTCCATATCACCAAATTTACCTGTCCATCCCTGTATGACATTTGGTGGGACGTAATGCTGCTGCATTTTGAGTCCAAAATGGATGCTGCTTCACCGAAAATAAGGTCTCTGTTGTACAGTAACTCTACCTCCGTGTAAATGTGTGTTAAAACCATTCCAGGTGCCAGAATGGCCAACGATGTGGCGTAGCTGAACATTGCAGTTTCAATGGCCAGTCCATTCCCATTAATGACATATTTGGTGGCGATTCCACACTCAAGTTCAGCGCTGGAGGGCACGAGAAGCGAATTTCGTTCCGGCGCCTATGGAACCATCCTAATTTTTCCTCCGTGTTTTTCCTTAATTGCTTTTGAAGAGAGGGCTGCTCAGACAATAGTCTCTTTGGATGGCCGTTTTTCGCGTGACGGACCTCTTAAAGAGGGCGGAGCAAACTGTTCACCATGTGACCTGGGGAGGAGAAGGACCACCCTCTGATTGGTCTGCCGCCATTCGTTGTACAGCCGACAGTGATACCTGAGCGACACCTGTGGTAGAGAGAGGTCAAATCAGGTTAAGATAGTGTAGATACTGTGCCCACTACTGTAATGCATTAAGCCCAAACAAGTGGAATAGGAAGATGTTGCCCCTAGACCAGAGATGGGCAGCTGGCGGGCCACATTTTGAAGGCCCTCTGATCAATACATAAAAAAATAAAAATTACAAAATCGCAGTCTGTCTCAACTTACTGTTGCAAGTTAGAATAGTAGAATACACAAGGTGACATTTTGAAATTTGGTTGTGCATCAGCAGTTTTTCTCTTATGTCAGTCACTGATAGTCATTCAATTAGCCAATGTCAGCTAACTTTTTTCAGATTGGTAAATTAGTCTAGTGGCCAGCTATCTGGGGGGTACACAGACCCACAAGCAACTGCAGCCTCTCATGATGAGTTCAGATTTTTTGTGATCCTCACCCCCATCAATGTTGCCCATCCCTGTCCTAGACGCTGGTCTGAGGTTGGTTTTGTGTTGAGTAATGTCTAGAATTGGGACAGGGTAAGCTGATCCTAGATCTGTGCCTAAGGGCAACTTTTTACCCTTAGCAACCCAAGTAGCTGACTAAAAGTGCTAAGTTCCCAGGGTAGCATTCCTATTTCCTGCATAGCACCCTGAAAAGAGGATCCTACAGGATACACAACAGGAATGGAGGATCCAGAGAGTCTTGGTTTATTTTTCATTACCAGTCAAACGGTTTTTATATGTGTCCTCTTATGATATATTTGTGAATGAGATGTATTTGTGCAAGGGTTTTGCTTCACAGACACATCAAGTGAAAACGGGAACGAATTTGCCCAATATGCACAAGAAATGCCCAAATTCAGGCTGACCTCTGAGATTTACTGGCTCCCACCCTCCCTCCCCCCTACTCACCAGGGTCCAGAAGAGGTAGATGGTGAAGAGGGCCACGGTGAGAGTGATGAGGCCCACGGCCTCCAGGCGGCTGGAAAAGTGCAGATGGTCCACGGCCCCCCGCAGACACAGCCACCCGGAGATTGTGGCCAGAGGCGTGATGAGCAGGAAGCACACCATGTCGCCGAACAGCGTCCGCTTTTCCTGGCGCAGGCCCGGGTTACGCACCCACTAGAGAGGGAGAGAGGAGAGAAAATGTCACCTTTTTGCTAACAACCGAAACATCAATTCATGGGCGAGTCAGTGCCACATTTCCATTTGTGCCGAAATCAAAATGAAATAAAGTTCAGCAGGCTATGGTGTGAAATACGCTTGTTGAAGCTGTTTGGCTGACAACGTCATGAAAATGATGCGCGTGCATTGATGTGGCCGGAGGTCCGGTAGCTAGCAACGATTCCCCCTGACTCGTTTCAGCTCGTTGTATCTTGTTATTGATACCATGTTTGTTTTGAAGGATAAGGTTAATAAGGCAAAAACGTGCTAGCTAGCTAACCAACAACTGAAAATATGTTTTTGAAAGACAAGTGCTCATTGTGCAAACGTATTTATATTTTCAATAAACATTTAGAGAGTAAATATAGTTTACATGTTGTCAACAGTCTAAGTCAACCCTGTCTGTTTTGCCCCATAGTTGCGCACGGGTCGGTTTTGTTGCTAAACAACCATCCCGTCTATTGTAGTACTTATCGTTAATGTCGTCTTTGTTGTCCTTATCAATGCACAAGCACCTTTTTTCCCACTCCTATCGATACAATTATTGTATTAAGTCATACACAAGTTTTACTGTGCGTAAAGTTTCAAATGCATTCTGTAATTACTAAATGTGTAATGTGATGGGTATTTTAACATAGCTATTTTTTAACACAAAAACATTGCATCATCATCCCCTTTATTTGAGAAAGACAATCTTTGCGAGAGAGAGGGAATCTGATTTCATTCTTCCTCAGCTCCCGACTCTCACTTCATTCAGTATAAATGGAGTTAGCCTGCCCAGGAGCAGGTTAGTTCTGAAGGATTCATTGCCATAGAAATGTACCTGGTTAAAAGGTGAGCCACTTTCGTGGTACCGGTTATCCCGTACCGGTTATCCCGAGTTTAACTCAGTTGACCAAAGTTACCTCTCTAATTCCTCAAACCAGGTATGTACTGTAGTAGAGGGCTCTGGTAACCACCCTTGGGTTTTCGAGGTCTTGTTACAGTAAATTCTAGATTTGCTCAGCTAACACCATTATATTGTTTTATGTTCTTCCAGCTAACAGGAACTGGAGGTGCAGTGTATTGCTATCATGCAACAGAAAATTGCTAACTGAGTTTGATAGCAATATGTTAGGAGATAGGAGAGTATAACTGGATTACTCTAAAACAGGATGCCGGCCGGGTCTGCTGGGACTGGGTTAGGTTGGGCTAGAGCCAATCAAATGATCACCCAACCAGCTATGTTGCTTGTTTGATGCCTTGCTGATTTAGCTATGACATTTGATCACTTATGGTCTGCATACTGCCTCTATTCCAAAGCCACATGCGCTTGGATACACAGCTAGCTTGGATTGCTAACTACCCAACAATATTTTTGGTTTCAGTATATTAAAGATGCACTCCAGGATCACAACAAATTGGTAACATATAGTAAATAATAATAATAATATGCCATTTAGCAGACGCTTTTATCCAAAGCGACTTACAGTCATGCGTGCATACATTTTATTTTAATTTTTTTTGTGTATGGGTGGTCCCGGGGATCGAACCCACTACCTTGGCGTTACAAGCGCCGTGCTCTACCAGCTGAGCTACAGAGGACCACAATCACATTTGTATGATTTTCAGGATGTAACACATCATAAGAAATGGATAACATATTGCACCATTTTATGACATTTGGCTTGTGAGCATCACTTTCAAAACTATTGGATGAAATTATACAAAAGTTAGAGAGTGCATCTTTAATTAGAGACTATTCTTAAAATATTTGGAAAGTAGACTTCTCCTGAACATAACGAGAACTTCAATCGCAAACCAACCCACACTATCTGTGGTTTCTCAATATTAAAAGTCCTTGGCTCCAAGAATAAATAAATACAATCCTGGTGCATCCTCAAAACCCCATGCAACAGAGCTCTGCTTATGATCCAGATGATGAGGCACGATATATTGATTAGATATTATATTCATATTTATGAGGAATCAGACCTGGGTTCAAATACGATTTGAAATCTTTTCAGTTACTTCAGCTGTGCTTGATTGAGTTCACCTAGCACAGTGGAACCAATAGAACAGTCCCAAAATGGCAAATCCCACCAATCCGGCACACCAGACAGGCTTAAGCAAACGGTCAATGTATTGGAACGTTTCTGAATAGTAGTTGAACCCGGGTCTGATGAGAAACGCTACCAGCGAGTCAACCTGCATGGTATGGGTGTAATTACCACCAAACAACCACTTCGCACCACCACTGTCCAATTATATATTATATATGGAGGCAGTGTCCTGACGCACAAAGAATAGAGGAGATGCTAGGGGGTAATAACGTGTTAGCTAGAGGTTATTGTGGAGACGAGGACACTAACACAATCACACACATAGGAACACACATTATTACTGTGGTCGAATTCATTCCACAAAAAATGGGGAAATGAGGGGTAAGAGAAATACAATTGATATTAGCGGTGAGGTTACTTATTACCACAAGAACCGAAACTCATTTGGAGTTCATAATTAATTCACTTGCAGTATTAATTTACAGAGTACAGATGACTAGATGTTTTTGCTGTGTTGACAATTATTTAGCAATTTAAGACCTTTCGGGAAACTCACCCCAGAAAGACATGCACTTTTAACTGTTACATTGCTAATAAGACACACAGAGTCACACTAGTGTTACACTGATGATAAAACCCACAGTAACATGGAGGATTGGTTGACTACGTGTGTAAGTGCTGAGACTATAGAGGAAGTGGAGTGTGAGAAGTGTCATGGAATGTTTACCAGAAGCCCAAAGTGTCTTCAACCCCCTTCACTTCACATTCCATCTGTGCATATAGACCAAACTTTACACACACACACACACACACACACACACACACACACACACACACACACACACACACACACACACACACACACACCACAGCTTATAACTACAAATGACAGATTCACTAAAGATAGCAAGAGCCCAACAAAATCCTTTGGCATGTTGTTTTGATGTAACATGAAGAGCAGGACTGGTTTTAAGACCAGCGCGGACAAACATACAGTGAGGGAAAAAAGTATTTGATCCCCTGCTGATTTTGTACGTTTGCCCACTGACAAAGAAATTATCAGTCTATAATTTTAATGGTAGGTTTATTTGAACAGTGAGAGACAGAATAACAACAAAAAAATCCAGAAAAATGCATGTCAAAAATGTTATAAATTGATTTGCATTTTAATGAGGGAAATAAGTATTTGACCCCCTCTCAATCAGAAAGATTTCTGGCTCCCAGGTGTCTTTTATACAGGTAACGAGCTGAGATTGGGAGCACACTCTTAAAGGGAGTGCTCCTAATCTCAGCTTGTTACCTGTATAAAAGACACCTGTCCACAGAAGCAATCAATCAATCAGATTCCAAACTCTCCACCATGGCCAAGACCAAAGAGCTCTCCAAGTATGTCAGGGACAAGATTGTACACCTACACAAGGCTGGAATGGGCTACAAGACCATCGCCAAGCAGCTTGGTGAGAAGGTGACAACAGTTGGTGCGAATATTCGCAAATGGAAGAAACACAAAATAACTGTCATTCTCCCTCGGCCTGGGGCTCCATGCAAGATCTCACCTCGTGGAGTTGCAATGATCATGAGAATGGTGAGGAATCAGCCCAGAACTACATGGGAGGATCTTGTCAATGATCTCAAGGCAGCTGGGACCATAGTCACCAAGAAAACAATTGGTAACACACTACGCCGTGAAGGACTGAAATCTTGCAGCGCTCGCAAGGTCCCCCTGCTCAAGAAAGCACATATACAGGCCCGTCTGAAGTTTGCCAATGAACATCTGAATGATTCAGAGGAGAACTGGGTGAAAGTGTTGTGGTCAGATGAGACCAAAATCGAGCTCTTTGGCATCAACTCAACTCGCCGTGTTTGGAGGAGGAGGAATGCTGCCTATGACCCCAAGAACACCATCCCAACATAAAACATGGAGGTGGAAACATTATGCTTTGGGGGTGTTTTTCTGCTAAGGGGACAGGACAACTTCACCGCATCAAAGGGACGATGGACGGGGCATGTACTGTCAAATCTTGGGTGAGAACCTCCTTCCCTCAGCCAGGGCATTGAAAATGGGTTGTGGATGGGTATTCCAGCATGACAATGACCCAAAACACATGGCCAAGGCAACAAAGGAGTGACTCAAGAAGAAGCATATTAAGGTCCTGGAGTGGCCTAGCCAGTCTCCAGACCTTAATCCCATAGAAAATCTGTGGAGGGAGCTGAAGGTTTGAGTTGCCAAACGTCAGCCTCGAAACCTTAATGACTTGGAGAAGATCTGCAAAGAGGAGTGGGACAAAATCCCTCCTGAGATGTGTGCAAACCTGGTGGCCAACTACAAGAAATGTCTGACCTCTGTGATTGCCAACAAGGGTTTTACCACCAAGTACTAAGTCATGTTTTGCAGAGGGGTCAAATACTTATTTCCCTCATTAAAATGCAAATCAATTCATAACATTTTTGACAGGCGTTTTTCTGGATTTATTTGTTGTTATTCTGTCACTCACTGTTCAAATAAACCTACCATTAAAATTATAGACTGATCATGTCTTTGTCAGTGGGCAAACGTACAAAATCAGCAGGGGATCAAATACTTTTTTCCCTCACTGTATGTGTTTGTTGGGATTATGTGGACAGATTGGGCGAGAAGGGCCATGCACAGAATGAAGGGCCATGCACAGTATGAAGGGCCATGCATAGTATGATGGGCCATGCACAGTATTGCATTTACATTTGAGTCATTTAGCAGACGCTCTTATCCAGAGCGACTTACAGTTAGTGAGTGCATACATTTTCATTTTCATACTGGCCCCCCGTGGGAAACGAACCCTCAACCCTGGCATTGCAATCGCCATGCTCTACCAACTGAGCTACAGGGGACAGTATGAAGGGCCATGCACAGTATGAAGGGCCATGCACAGTATGATGGGCCATGCACAGTATGAAGGGCCATGCACAGTATGAAGGGCTATGCACAGTATGAAGGGCTATGCACAGTATGAAGGGCTATGCACAGTATGATGGGCCATGCACAGTATGAAGGGCCATGCACAGTATGATGGGCCATGCACAGTATATGTGAGGTGGTATGTATAGTATGGGTAGCATGTCAGTATGACAATGGTCTTTCTACATGCTGTGTTTTGTGTGTGTGTGCATGTGTGTACTTATGCTTCTGTATACTGTACCTCCATCATTGGCCGGTTCTTCCTCTGTACAGTGAACTGGTAGTGGCAGAGCTCACAAGCGCTGGTGCCGGAGGCAGAAAGCCAGTGCTCCAGGCAGCTCCGGTGGATGGTACCCAGGGTCCCTGCACACTCACAGGGGGAGAGCAGCTCCTCCTGACCCCCTCCGTCATGACAGATCCGACACATGGGCCGCTCAGGCAGAGAGCTTCAGCGATATAGAACGAGGTGAGAAAAAAATAGAGAGAGAAATGGAGAGGTGAGAAAAAGAGGAACAGGAAGACATTTTAGATACGCTGATGTTTTCTGTTCCCCTTGAAGCTTGGGGCCGCAGGTGGAAAAATCTGCCGTTCTGCCCTTGAGCAAGGAAGTTAACCCCCACAACAACTGCTCCCTGTGCGCCGATGACGTGGACGTCGGTTAAGGCAGCCCCCTGCACCTCTCTGATTTAGAGGGTTTGGGTTAAATGCGGAAGACACATCTGAATGCATTCAGTTGTGCAACTGACTAAGGATCCTCCTTCCCCCTTTCTGAGAACAACAACAACTGACTAGGGATCCTTCTTCCGCCTTTCTGAGAACAATAACAACTGACTAGGGATCCTCCTTCCCCCTTTCTGAGAACAATAACAACTGACTAAGGATCCTCCTTCCCCCTTTCTGAGAACAATAACAACTGACTAGGGATCCTCCTTCCCCCTTTCTGAGAACAATAACAACTGACTAGGGATCCTCCTTCCCCCTTTCTGAGAACAATAACAACTGACTAGGGATCCTTCTTCCCCCTTTCTGAGAACAATAACAACTGACTAGGGATCCTTCTTCCCCCTTTCTGAGAACAATAACAACTGACTAGGGATCCTTCTTCCCCCTTTCTGAGAACAATAACAACTGACTAGGGATCCTTCTTCCCCCTTTCTGAGAACAATAACAACTGACTAGGGATCCTCCTTCCCCCTTTCTGAGAACAATAACAACTGACTAGGGATCCTCCTTCCCCCTTTCTGAGAACAATAACAACTGACTAGGGATCCTCCTTCCCCCTTTCTGAGAACAATAACAACTGACTAGGGATCCTCCTTCCCCCTTTCTGAGAACAATAACAACTAAAATAGGAGCTCACAATTCACTGACTAGAGGTTTTCAAAAATATCAGGTCGATATTTCAGTGGATAGAAAACTAGCTGGTAAAATAACAAAACCCTGGGAGGGTGTTGGTGTAATTTGACGCTGTCAGCAGAGTTGGCTGTCACACATTGTTAGAATACCCTGTCTATTCTGTCTGTGTACTGAACATGCATTCATACAGTACATCTCTTAGATTACAGACTCAAATCAAACATTTTCTGGATTAAAACAACATATGCAATGAGGATTGTATTACTTAAATTTACTATATGGACTGTAACCTATGATTCTATGATTCACCAATCTCCTATATGGCATCTAATCCTCTAATCTGGATGATGATTATGTCGGGTTGTTGATCGCCTTGATTTCATCAGGAAACTAAGCCAATGTCTTTGACGGAATGAATGAGCCCCTCACTCAACAAATCACCCCCTTGAACATAAACACTGGTCGCTGCCTATAACTAACACAACAGAATGAACATCATCTTGTCAGACAAAAGAATGAATAAGAAGATTTTGCTAGAGAAAAACTACTTTAGAGTCGTCGTCAGTTTAAAGTGTAATAAAAGCCTTTAAACCTAATCTGGTAATAGTTTTTCATGTTGATCATCAACAGAACAAACATGACAACAATTACTTTATATTAGACATATACGACAAAAAGGCATATTTATAACCTGGTCCCAGATCTGTTTGTGTTGTCTTGCCAATGACCAGTCATAGAGTTGGAAAGACGGTACAAGTAGACCTGAGACCAGGCTAGCACATACCTATTTCCTTCAATCAGTATTTATTAAATAATACATTGTACGTTGTAGCTGCCATGGCAATTTAGTCTGTAATAGGTATTATGTAATAGGTAGCAAATGAACTTGATCCCAATTCTATAATGTATGCTAACAGCTCTATGCCAATCTATGCTAGCTACCTCTTTGCTACTATGCTATCTATCTCTAAGCCACTCTATGCTAGCTAGCTCTATGCCACAGGCTGATTATAAAGCAGGCTTTGGGGGGGGTCTAACAGTTGTGACCCAGTCTGCATGACTGCAGCTGTTGCCGCTAAAACCCCCTTTTGTCTCCCATAGGAGTGTGTGTGTGTGTGTGTGACAAAGAGTCCCGTCAGGCGTACATGCTAATCAAGGTGCTACATTTAGACTTTGCACTATCCGGCAAGAACAGCACATCTGTTTTGTTTCAAATGTACAGACATTTACCCCATAGGGCCAGATAGTGTGATTGGTATGTAAGTTATGTAGCTGTCTGAAGCCCAAGTTACTCATCTATCTGATCTATATGGTCCTCTTTCAACTGTGTCCAGAGAACAATAGAGCCATCCCAGACAGATAGAGGGGGAAATCCTTTTGAGAGGCACTTGATTTGTTACCATTCAGAAATTGTGTTTGGTCGTATTTGGGTATATATTTAAAACTAGCTTCCTCAAAATAAAAATAAAAGAGTATTTTAGGTTCACTTTACCTCTGACCCCCACCACCCACCACCCCCTCCCCTCTCGTCCAAAACTCTATTCCATCCATGTTTGGCAGGTCCATACCTTTGTTTGGCGTACGCTCCCGCGACAGGTGACAGCAGCTGCCCATCCTTGGCAGACATTTGCATGTAGTACTGTGGCTCTCCATTGGCAGGACTGCTCTGCTCTTCCATTGCTTTTCCTGGGAGGTCAGGCTCTGTCGGGCAGTCCAGGCTACCCATTGGATCAAAGTCCCTGTCACTCAAGCAGCTCCCCGTGTGGGCAGAGTTAGAATGCTGCGGCAGCACCTCCGGCAACAGAGTGCAGCGACTGGTCGTCATGGCAGCAGACGGTTATCACTCATTGGCGTCTGGCTTGGTTACTAAGCATCATCTGTCTGGAGTAGAGGAGGGGAGAAGAGAGGAGGGGAGGGGAGGGGAGAGGTACAGGGATATTGACAAGGGTTTCAAGCATCATAAAGTGTGTGTTGATGCGTCAATGGGATAGAATACAGTATCTTCTTTTGGTGTGAAATCCTGAAGGTCAGACTCAATGCTTTGAATCTGCCGCTGTTAAATAGGCCTATCTGCCTCTGTTGAATAGGCCTATCTGCCTCTGTTGAATAGGTCTATCTGCCTCTGTTAAATAGCCTATCTGCCTCTGTTGAATAGGTCTATCTGCCTCTGTTAAATAGCCTATCTGCCTCTGTTGAATAGGCCTATCTGCCGCTGTTAAATAGCCTATCTGCCTCTGTTAAATAGCCTATCTGCCTCTGTTGAATATGTCTATCTGCCTCTGTTGAATAGGTCTATCTGCCTCTGTTAAATAGGTCTATCTGCCTCTGTTAAATAGGTCTATCTGCCTCTGTTAAATAGGTCTATCTGCCTCTGTTAAATAGGTCTATCTGCCTCTGTTAAATAGGTCTATCTGCCGCTGTTAAATAGGTCTATCTGCCTCTGTTAAATAGGTCTATCTGCCGCTGTTAAATAGCCTATCTGCCTCTGTTAAATAGCCTATCTGCCTCTGTTGAATAGGTCTATCTGCCTCTGTTGAATAGGTCTATCTGCCTCTGTTGAATAGCCTATCTGCCTCTGTTGAATAGGTATATCTGCCTCTGTTAAATAGGTCTATCTGCCGCTGTTAAATAGGCCTATCTGCCTCTGTTGAATAGGCCTATCTGCCTCTGTTGAATAGGTCTATCTGCCTCTGTTAAATAGCCTATCTGCCTCTGTTAAATAGGTCTATCTGCCTCTGTTGAATAGGTCTATCTGCCTCTGTTAAATAGCCTATCTGCCTCTGTTGAATAGCCTATCTGCCTCTGTTGAATAGGTCTATCTGCCTCTGTTGAATAGGTATATCTGCCTCTGTTGAATAGGTCTATCTGCCTCTGTTAAATAGGTCTATCTGCCTCTATTAAATAGGTCTATCTGCCTCTGTTGAATAGGTCTATCTGCCTCTGTTAAATAGCCTATCTGCCTCTGTTAAATAGGTCTATCTGCCTCTGTTGAATAGGTCTATCTGCCTCTGTTAAATAGCCTATCTGCCTCTGTTAAATAGCCTATCTGCCTCTGTTGAATAGGTCTATCTGCCTCTGTTGAATAGGTCTATCTGCCTCTGTTAAATAGCCTATCTGCCTCTGTTAAATAGCCTATCTGCCTCTGTTGAATAGGTCTATCTGCCTCTGTTAAATAGCCTATCTGCCTCTGTTAAATGCTGAATTTTGTGGTGTAGAAATTACAAAGATATAAAGTTAGGTGAACTTTACTGAGAACATTTTCAGTCAACTATAGTCCATAGTCAAGTAGAATCATTTCCATTTCCTGTGTAACATCAATATGTGTAACATCTATGTGTAACATCAATATTGATACAGACATGACAGTCAATGTTTAACCTACTGTAATATGCAGAGCCTCCCTGCACGTTTCTGCTAGCATTATACTAAAGGTCATCTCTCTTGAGGTGCTGGAGATCTACATAGTTATTAGTATAAAATCACTCTCAAATGATGAGGCTTTGCTAACCTGTATAGATTTCCTTGCTTCCCTGTGACAGAGGATAGATTAAAAACTATACATACGAATAACTCATGCTAGTCTGTACAACCTAAGTTTCTTCACAGGATTTCAAATAATAATATCTCTGGTTTTGATTGAATGTATTTTATTTGACAGTTTGTCACTGTGATTGGTTGATATTAAGATTTGAAGTGATGTAACAAACAAAAACAAAAAGACCAGAGAAAAGGATCAAGGAAAAGAAAACCTTGACTGATAGAAAACCTTGACAGATCCCAAACATCTCACAATGCTTACTCGCTTAAAAATGTACAAATCCCTCTGTAGCTTGTGTTGATATTTACCACAAAACTGAACAGGCGAACAGACAGCGATCACATTCCAACTGCCACAGACTAAACACGTCTGTCTATTCAGTGTGCCGGCATTATCCATGTCCCAGTTCAGCTATTCCAGACCGCACCGAACGACTAGGGGAAGTGAAAACAGACAGAGGCTGGCTGCGACAACACAAGTAAACAATGCTGTCAACACAAAACTAATTTGCAGCAATGCGGCTGAGGTCATACGTCTGGTGTTCAGGTAAACATTCTGTCAACGCAGCAGATTGGAGGAAGGCCACACACACACACTGACAACAACACCCAGTGTTTCAGGCTAAATATAGTGTGGTTGGTTGAGCAATGATTAAATATAATAACTCACCATATTTGTAGCTAACTAAGCATACAACGTAACCACACTAAACACATCCATATGAAAGTATGTCAATTAAACGACATTAAACAAGACACATTATAAACACAAGGATTTTAATTGTAAACATTTGAAGCTACCAAAGCATGCAACCGAACCCTATTGAAATGCATCCGTATGACAGCATAGCAATTAATCAACATTAAACAAGACACATAAATAACACAAGGGTTTTAATTGTAAACTAGCAGCAAACAATAAACAATGGCTTCTTTATATCCGTATACAGCTGAGACAGTAGAGCCCTTCAGCTGGTTTTCCCCGAGGGTTTCGCTAAAGATCTTTAGCGAAAACGTAATATTACTAGCCACATTGTTAACACGTCCACAGAGGACGTTCCTTTCAGATAATGATCTTTTGCCCCTGGAACTACGCACTATATTTCTGGCACTCCCTATTACAGTACAAGCAGATGTGAATGACATGCTATAGGATACAGATAGAGCTTTCAGGACTGTACATTCAACCATGCCAATGAACTCTTCCTGACTAGGCCCAGCGAGACAACAGGACAAGGACTTTTTCAATTCTTCACAATGCCCACTGGATTACACAACGCAACCGTTTGTGGGCGAGTGTAAAAATATAAATGACGGAGAAGTGGTAGGGACCAGACCTGGGTTCAAATACTATTTGAAATCTTTCAAATACTTTTGAGCGTTTGCTTTAGCCTGCCTGAAGTGTCAGGTGGGCGGGGTTTGCACTTTCTGGACTTTTCCATGGGTTCCATTGTGCTAGGCAAGCTCAATCAAGAACAGCTAAAGTATTTGAAATTATTTCGAATAGTATTTGGTACAGACATACGCCAGGGATTAGTAAAGGAAGGGAAAGACTAGAAGAACTGTCACCCGGTTTAGTTTCACATCGTGTTTGGATACAGAGGAAGTGGAGCCTCCCTAGCACTCTGTGGGTGGAGTGTTGCCTATTTGTTCAACTGTCGTGAAAAATGTCAAACCACTTCCTGTTGCGTCATTCATGCAACATAGGCCTACTGTAGACCCTTAGAGATGCTTTGAGTGGGTGTGGAGATACGATACAGTGGTTGTGAGATGTACTGTAAATATACATAAGTTGCAAACCTGCAACTAAGGTTGCAAATGCAGATCGCAAAACTACACACACACCTTGAATGGTAACTTGATCCACCCCAGTCTGCCCCTCACTCCACCTTTGTGGGTAGTCATTTTCCAGGTCACTTGGGGTAGAGGACCAATGTGCTTTGAAAAGTTGTGGTTTGGCACTGGGTGACCTCACCTGTTGTTGTTGACCTCACACCGTTGAGGCATAGGAGAGACGCCACCCATGCCAGTGCGGACTACAGCTTCTCTCGTTACTGCCATAAACTACATTTTAAAGCCACGGTGCAGCAACAGAATGTGTCCCCCATGACAACCTGTGATCTCCAACCATGTCACAAGGTTGACCAATTGAGGCAAGAGCCTAGCTATGACCCTAGTAGGACACAGTAGTATTCACTAGTCAGACCATCAAAACAGGATGCTGATGACATTAATCATTGTTGGTCGACTTTCAGGAAAACTTTACTCATGGTACTTTCTACAGATTTGTCTTTCTTTGTAAATCAGTCACTCAATGAAAAACGATTTGACTCAAGTACCTGTGGTGGAGAAAAGGATGTAAACATATTCAGAGTCATGCTTTTGGGAAAGACCTTCAAAGTGCCAGAAAAAGCGGCTAACAAATTTACTCTCCTGTCTAACACCTGTATACCAGAATAAAGTTAGACAAGGACAGTGATATACAGTGAACATTAAGAACATCTGCACATGAGACTTGGTAAACAAGTGTGACGTTCTATAGATATTGTTAAGATAGGAAATCCTTTACTGTAAGTTGTGAATGATGACCCCATGTCGACATACTGTATGCTATATGTTTTGAAATACTGCAAATAACTACTCTGAGAGCTGTCGAGCATTGGGTGTGGACATCACAGTTTAAAATGAACTGACAAAGCTAAGCTAACTTCACAATATTAGACCATGCTAACTCGCTTAGTGCGATGACAGCTTTGAATCTGACTGGACTAAGTTTTCAAAAACAAGAGCATGAAATGCAATTCTGGTAAGTGAATAGGACCTAGTCACACAGTGAAAGCACTGTTCTGCCTAGATAAGCCTGGGGTGTCGTTGATAAGCGAGGTGGAGATTCCTCTGAATTCTTATTTATCCCTTACTGCCTAGACCCTCGCTCACTCGCTCACTCACTCACCTACTCTACTTAATCCTATGGATTCCCTACTGATTGACCAAACAATGCTGGAGACATTGGCTTTGTGCCAATATCCACACTAACACACAGACTAGCATTAGAATGCATGGCCAATACATTGGTTCATTCTAAGTAGTGTTCCAGTGTGTATACTGGGACATTGTCATAGGCTTATACATAGTGTGGATACTGGGACATTGTCATAGGCTTCTTCAGGAGCATTTCAATGTTACAGAATGTCATAGAAATGTATCGTGTAGAACATACACGCCTCTCAGCCATCTAGAATAAAGAGCAATATTTCTGTTATTTACATTTGAGTCATTTAGCAGACG